TGCAGCAGCTTTTGGTGCGTCCTCATTACCCAAGAATGAACCCTTTATCTTTGATTCGTAGTATTGCACTTTCAATTTCAGATAATTGGAGTTAGCAGCAAGGGGTTTGTCCTAGAAACTCATATTAGTAGAGGATTTTAGATATTTAGATATAGATTCCGCTTATATCACATCTTTTAGATGTTAGTCTATCTCAGTATTATGAGCTTTATTTAGACATTTCAGATTTAGCTTTTGTGCTTACTTTCCAGTTTTTCTTTGGTTTTATGCAAATCTTAGTGTCAGGTCATGAGATTAGCTTGGGGTCACTTGTGGATCTTAGCACTGTATCACGTCTAGTGAATAGTCTCGGGACATGACATGAAGTTATATATACGAGTTTTTTCAAATGGCTAAAAGAATATTTAAGCCTGAAAGGTTATATTGAACTAATAAGTATATATATTCATTTAAAAAATGTATATTTTTGAATAACAATATGTAGGTTTATGATGAACACACAAATGTTGAACATCTGCAATTGGTGACAGAAGTTGCACTTGGACCTGAATCTCAAATTTAGAAAATAAATAAGTGTTGTATGAATGATTTCATGTTCCAAATTGAAGAAGCTTCTAGGTATAAGAAAACTAATAGTAGCAGTGTACGCGTTCAAGGTGATATCAATGGTAATGGCCAAACTCTTGATATTGTGGTGTCATTGATGAGATTATTGAAGTAAGATATTCATGTTGGTCTAAAAAAATAATATTGTTTCAGTGTACGTTGTTTGACCCATCACATAGATGCACAAGAATGAATCAACAACATAATATAATTGAAGTTAAGCACACGAGAAAATATGAAATTTATGATCCTTTTATCATTACACAAAATGCTAAGCAAGTGTATAACGTTCCATATTTGTTGCATAGAGGTAAGGTCGATTGGTGAGTTGTTATAAAGACTAAGCATGTGGGAAAGATTGTATTGGGAATATGTTAGATGTGACGTACTAAAATGATATTGCAATTGTTCAACAACAAGTTGATGTTGAATTAGAAATCACTTTAAAACATCATTAATGCATATTAAAAGGAAATTTATGATGATGAGATAATGACAAATGTTGAGAAATAAATAAATGAGAAAAATGAATCATTTTGAGAGGATGAATGAGATGATAACAATGAAACCCGAGGAGGAAGAATGAGATAATAATGGAAATAAAACAAGCGAGGAGAAAGAGTCAGAGATTATATACTATAGCTAGTATGTAAGTTTATTTTGCTAGCACTAATTGTATTCAATACTTATAATTTTATATATTGTAATGTAAATTTCCATGCAGCTATCATCGGGTGGTGATGGTGATAAATCCTATCATCTTAGGATTAATCATTCTAGTAAGAGTAGGAGGCCTATAGATCCTGAGGATATTCCAGGATAGGTCCCATCTGAGCTAGAGCAACACTTTTCTACACACATTTCTTATATCTCATTTGGAACTAGGGATCCCTTAGAGTATCATTGTGCATACTGTTGGCCACGTGGAGTTTCTTCTTTTTCCCAATCCTTACCTCTATTGTGGCACACTTACCTACCTACAAACATCATTCCTCATGCACAACCCTTATCATCTAATAGAATATCATCTTATACCTCATCTCCCACCGCTATATCCCCCAACCTATCAAGTTTGAGTAGACTTAGAGATTTCAGTTCTGAGTTTGATGTTATGGATGGTACTCCATCATTTGAATCAACGTTATATACATTTGAGAGTATCACCTAAACCCTCACTTTCAGTTGTTGCTACACTCGATGAGGAGGAGGATCCGCTTGAGCTAGCAGCTGGAGAGAGGGTCAGGTCTGATAGAGTGATGATTGAGCCTAATGGATTATCATAAGTTTATTTAGTTAAATATTAATTAATTAATTTTTTCTACATTAATTATTCATGAATTCACATGTTTATTATGTGTTTTGTAGGTGAAATCCCTCAAATGATGCTTCTATGGCTTTACATGAGAGTGTTAGGAGGCTTTTTACGGAGCCTTATCACTCTTGGAGTGAGATTTCAGAGGGGATATGGTATGCCATATTTAATGAGTTTACGGTATGTAATTAGTCATATATTTTTCTTGTTAAGTTTGATACTATTTAGTATAATTTATTAATCATCTAATGCTACTCACTTTATTTTCAGACTGTGTATACTTGGAATTGAAAGTACAATATGTTCATTGTGATCACTTTTGAGAGGAGGGCCAGTGCCAGATTGTCTAGCTGGCTAAAAAAAAGTTCAGGATTTAGAGACAAGTGAAACTTGGCTTTTGCCAAATGTCTTTGAGGCATTGTCTCAATATTGAGGCACAGATGAATTCAAGACTTTGTCCGAACAAGCCAAGAAAGCTAGTCACATGTTTATTATGTGTTTTGTAGGTGAAATCCCTCAAATGATGCTTCTATGGCTTTACATGAGAGTGTTAGGAGGCTTTTTACGGAGCCTTATCACTCTTGGAGTGAGATTTCAGAGGGGATATGGTATGCCATATTTAATGAGTTTACGGTATGTAATTAGTCATATATTTTTCTTGTTAAGTTTGATACTATTTAGTATAATTTATTAATCATCTAATGCTACTCACTTTATTTTCAGACTGTGTATACTTGGAATTGAAAGTACAATATGTTCATTGTGATCACTTTTGAGAGGAGGGCCAGTGCCAAATTGTCTAGCTGGCTAAAAAAGCTCAGGATTTAGAGACAAGTGAAACTTGGCTTTTTCCAAATGTCTTTGAGGGATTGTCTCGATATTGAGGCACATATGAATTCAAGACTTTGTCTGAACAAGCCAAGAAAACTAGAAACAATGTTAAGGATGACTCATTGCACACTGAGGGTGCGAAGAGCGTTGAAACACTAACGAGAGACATGCTAAGTTTCCTAAATTTAAACTTCTAATTCATAGATTTAAATAGAGTTGATTAAATATTACTTGATTGTTGTCTAAAATTATATAGTTTTTCAGGAAAAAGAATTGGGGAAATAATGACCCGGAAGGTCATTTTTGGAAATTTTTAGAAAAATTAATGTTTTATCCCTCCTGATAGTTTCCTTGAGTTATTTCTAATTAGTTTGTGGTGTTGGTTTTGAAATTTGAGCAAAAGATTGTGATTTTTGGAAGTTTTGACTTTTTAGAGGCTTAAGTTGTTTAAAGGTGGTTTTTGGTATCTACCAGAGTTTTGAGACTCCAAATGGAATTCCACCAGTTTCATCAGCTCCGAAATGTGGAATATTGTCTAGAGTAGTCGTCAATTTCAGATTCGGAGTTGCTTTATTGATTCGAGGTATTAAGTTGGAAGTTGATGTGATTTTAGCACTTTGAGTTGACTTTGGAAAACATTTGAAGTTTGGTTGCTTAGATAGGATTTTCGACGGTTCCATTAGATTATGAGGATGATTAGAGGCCTAGGAGAGGTCTTGATTGAATTTTCAAAGGTTTCGAGCTTAATTTGGCCCTTTTAGGCGTTATGCTAGTTTATTGCGACTCTCACGGGTTTCAAGTCAAGGAGATATGGAATTCATATTTCGATGGTTTCATTAAAATCTGGAGCATTGAGTTTATTTAGGTATCATATCTTGTTTCTAGTACTCGGGGTTCCGAACGAATCCCGAGAGTCCATTCGGAAACTTTATGCGCCTTGTGTGATTATTGTTGGTTTCTATTTTCTGGTGCTAGGTATTTTGTTCATCGCGACCACGAGACCTTCTCGTGCAATTGCATGGAGTTGTTTTTGCATGCTTCACGATCGCGTGACCCTCATCCCAATCACATAAGTGTCTTTTTTCTAGTTATTGCGATCGCACGAGGCCCAGTTGCGATGGTCAAATTAAATAAGATGACTTGTTTACTTATCGTGATCGCAGGGCCTTGGGTCGCAATCGTGATGAGCAATTTTGCCTGAAAAATACGTCTTTCCAAAAATTGGGTTTTATCTCTATTTCACCATTTTTGTGATTTGAGAGCCCCGGCTTTGGCGATTTCAAAAGGGTTTATCGAGTTTCTTCAATTGAGTACTGATTTCTAACTCCCCACCTCTTATACCCATTAATTATTGGCATAATACATAAAGATGACTCTTAACTTGACTTCAACGGACAATTATGCCCTCCAACTTTGGGTGTACACAAGTAGGCACTTAAACTTGTATAAAATTGAACACGTAGACACACGTATCCTTTTTGAAAAACGACGGAAGTGACTACATGGCCTTTTTATCATTTTTTACCAAAATAAAGACCCGTCATTTTTGAAGCATTTTTTAGTAGTGAATTTCAAAGAAAATGAGGTTAATTTTCATCCAATTTCTGTCCTACTCCCTGACCTTTTCAAAGACCCCTCATTAAATATGACCCCTCATCAATAATTTCAAAAAAACTACTCTCTGTCATTAAAGACAAAGCATGAGAATGACAGCACTTGCTCATCCTCACTCGTATTTTAAGTGGCTGCTTAAAGTCGTCAATTCTCGTTGACATAGTCCATATTAAAATTCTAAAGTAGTTGACACTCTATTCCAATGTACTACTTTTTCATTCAAACAAGAGTTGTCTACTATTAACTTGACACACATCTTAAAAATCAATAAATAATAGGAGTAATATTACTATATTTCCCTTTCAATATATTAAATTTAAGGCTTTTGTAAATGTATTAGATATTGAATAGTATTTAATAGCAAGAGTAAAATACATAAAGGGTAAATTATCTCTTGGCTTCCAAACTGGACAAGTATTATTGAATAACTATTTTTAGTATAGTGGATAAATAAAGATGGACGGAGGGAGTAAAAGATTGTCAATATATAAAATTATCAATTCTCGTTGACATAGTCCACATTAAAATTCTAACATAGTTGACCCTCTATTCCAATGAAATTAAGTACCTATAAATGGAACTGTGATGGGCTGGAGAATCAAACACATAATACTTACATCCCTAGTCTCCTTTAACAATGGCTCCTAATTATGTGATGATAGTTGCTCTGATAACATTTATTTGCTTTTCACTATGTTTTGGTGATGATGCTATGTTACCAACACACAACAATCTCATAACCAAATCTAACTGCAATGAAAGTTGTGGCAATGTCAACATCCCTTTCCCATTTGGTATGTCCCGAGATTGCACTCTACGCGATCAGTTCCTTGTCACTTGTGATTACTCCTTAAATCCTCCCCAGCCTTTTTTAGAAAACAGCAGTATTGAAATCACAAGCATATCTCTCGCTGGGCAACTTAACGTCTTACAGTTCATATCCACAGATTGTTATGGTGCTGGGATAAGCACGAATAAGATTAAGTCATTCATAGCATTACCGTCGTTGCTAACTGTGAACGACACCTCCAATAGGTTCATTGCGGTTGGCTGTGACACATATGCTATTGTTCAGGGTTATTATACCAAGTTTGGAGCTAAAATCGAGTATCCCTCCTACATAACAGGATGCATGTCCATGTGCAATAGTATTGATGATGCTGTTAATGGTGATAAAAACTCATGTTCTGGGGTTGGTTGTTGCCAGACATCCATCCCTAAGGGAGCATGGAATGTCACCATAACACTAAGCAGCTATTATAATTATAATGAAACTGATATGAAAAATGACCTTAGTTGCAGCTATGCTTTTGTGGTCGATCAAGCTACTTTCGACTTTTCTAAGAGTTACCTCAGCAGTTTGCAGAACACGAAGAAGCTTCCTCTTGTGCTAGATTGGGCAGTTGGTGAAGAAAAATGTGAAATAGCTAAGAGAAACTCGACTGCATATGCATGTAAGAGTAACAACAGCTATTGCCATGATGATTCAAATGGTTATCGATGTTCCCGCATGCAAGGATATGATGGGAATCCATACCTGATAGATGGTTGTCAAGGTATGTATATGTTTGTGAGTCTCCTAATATGATTTTAATTATATCAAATCTATCATTTCGCAAATGAATGTTTACGGTTGTGCTCTACGAGTCTGCAGATATCAATGAATGTGCAGATCCGCAACCAGATTATAGGTGTGTCAAAAATGCCATTTGCAACAATACAGTTGGGAGTTATACATGCACATGCCGTCCAGATTTCAGTGGTGATGGTTATACTGAATGCAATCGTGACAATCCTCAGAGAAAAATTCAGAATATTTATCTTATTATAGGTACTTTTCTTAACTTCTTTGCAATTCTGCAGGTAGTTCTTTGATAAGCCCGTCAAATATTACTACTCGTTTGATTATTTCATTCACAACTGAACCGAAAAAGGAAAACCACAGATTTTCATGTATATTTGTTAATCACATACTTTTATTACAGGCATTACAGCAGGGGTTGCTTTAATGGTTTTTATAATATTTGGCTGGTCATATACTGCATTCCAAAGGAGAAAAATGTCAATGATGAAAGAGAAGTTTTTCCAAGAAAATGGTGGATTAGTTCTACAACAGCGACTCAGAAGGGAAGAGGGATCAAGTCATAATAATACAATAAAGATTTTCACATCGGACGAGCTTGAAAAGGCAACTAATGGCTTTGACAAAGATAGAGTTGTTGGTCAAGGAGGTTTTGGAAGTGTGTACAAAGGATATCTAAAAGATAATTGCATCGTTGCCATAAAAAAGTCTAAGGTAATTGATCTCAATCAAATTGAACAATTCATAAATGAAGTCCTTGTCCTTTCCCAAATCAACCATAGAAATGTGGTTAAGCTTTTAGGTTGTTGCCTCCAGACGGAAGTTCCACTACTGGTATATGAATTTATCAGCAATGGAACACTTTCTGAACACTTACATGATAAATTTGTTAGGATTTGAAACTTTTAGAGAAGAAAATAAGGTTCAGCAGCAGAAACTTTCATTCATATTCAACTTTTGAAAGCATACACACATATATCTACATAAGCTTTTCCAAAGTTAGTAGAGGACCATACATATCCAACCACTATTGACTTTCTTACAAAACATATTCCATAAAACAAAGACTACCTTTCCTTTACATACTTAACATAATATTTAAGAAAATAACAATTAAACAAAAAGACATCTAGAAATATCTCATTTTCTAACACT